TGCATTTATATTTTAATGAGAAATCCAAACCAAGTAATATACTATCAGTTATATCTGCTGCATATAAGTCTGCAAGGTAGGTTTTACCTATGCAAACTGGGACATTTTTTATGGTATACCCAGGTATTCTTTCATTGGGTACCACACCCCTCAGGTATATGAACTGCCTGTCGTCAATATCAAGTCCTAATTCTCTAGCGAGTTGAAGATTCATCACAGATACTTGGGCAGCAGTATCTACTACAGCAGAAACTTTCTTTGATTGTATATGGATAGGGATCACAAGGCTAGCTACATTTACTTGTTTTACTAGTATTTCCTTGACATCCCTGTCAATAGATGAATTCAGTTCATGACCAAGCTCATCCACTGACAAGAGTGATTCATCTGGTGTTTCCTCCAGCTCTTCATGACACGTTTCATAATTTTCATCTAGACTTTCATTCACCAGTGGTGGCTGGCCAAAATTTACTGACTGGACTGAGTGTTGGCCAATCCGCCCAGTCCTCGGAAGTTTAAATCTTTCTTATCGGGGCTAGGGCTTCTTCCCTTGTCTCTAGCCTGGGGGCAATCCCTTTGCAAGTGACCATATCCCTTACAGAGGTAACAACGACGTTGTTGTGGGCTTGATGGGGGTGTCGGAGACCTTGACCTTGGCTGGTCCTTTCGTTCCATTAGTCCTATGAGTTTAGCAATCAGGCCTTCAAGTTTCTCTGAGGTGTCTCGTTTCGAGTCATGAAGGGTTCGAATGCATGCTTCATCTATAGCTGGCTCCACACAGTCATCTTGGAAACTTACACGGCGGGTATTGTAATTAGTTCTTGAACCAAACAGTGCCCTGCGATTGTTCACAGCTGCTTTGACATACTTCAACGCTTTGTAAATGCTCTTTGGATTCTTTTCCATTGCAAGGTGAGCAGCTTCCTTGTCCTTGCATCCCCTAAGGAAAGCTTCTACTGCCATTTGATCAACAGTGCTGTCATTAGCTTCTGGAAGTCCATCCATGGTTAGAAAATGGACTCTTTGAGAGAATTCCTCAAAAGTTTCATCCTCCTTCTGTCGTACAAATTGTAATTGACGCCTTGCAGATATAGGTGCCTCTTTTGTACTGAATCGCCTTGACATTTTCTTCAAGAGATCTTGATAGCTACAATGTGTTAGTTCACGAGCGAAATCTAACGCCTTGTCCTGCAGACAGTCAAGTAGCCTTCCCTTTGCTTTTCGCTCACTCCAGTTATATTGTTTCACTTGTCTTTGGAACTGGAAGATAAATGAGTCCCAGTTCTTGTCGCCACGGAAGGTAGGCATCTTAGGTCTTGACGGGCTCCTTCGGGATTTACCATGACGAGTTCTCCTTCTGGTAAGGTTATGAGAGTCATCAGACTCACTGGAATCTTCTGAGTCTGAGGAGCCAGAGCTACTTTCTCCTCTATATCTAGTAGCCTGTGTACGTCTCTGTTTTGGTTGTCTCAGGTCGGCGCTGGAAAACCTATCTCCATGAGTAGAACTCTGACGGCCAAGATCCAGTTGCATGTTTGCACCACCCACACTACAGGGGGTAGAAGAGTGAAATGATGGTACTCCTGAAGAAGGAAATGCAGTGAATGACTGCATTGGTCCTAACTCAAATGGTGAATAAGACCTACTACCAGTCATCATGTGGCCTCCTTCCATGGTGCATTGACTAGGTTCTACCCTCAAAGAGGTAAGATGCGGTGTAATGGGTTCTTGCTTAATTCCTACCCTGTCCAAAGGCGTCTGAAGATTCTGAAGATTACTCAGTGGTAAGCTCGGTATATGTACAGGTGTTCGTCTGTCAAGCTCTTTTTGAAGTTCAGAAATTCGAGTTTCTTTTTCCTTTAGGGCCAAGTCTTTACTATGAAGTTCCTCTGCTTGCATTTGCATTCTGCCTTGCTGCAAATTCAATCTGTGGTGCAGATCCTCCTTTTCATAATAGCAGGCTTCTAATTTCTGGTTAGTTGTTCTAAGTTCGCGACTAAGATCTTCATATCCCACAGCCTGACTTGGTCGTCCGTTATCATCATCTAATTCAATGAGACCTTCATTGATCCACTGCTGCCATACTTCTTCCTTGATTCTTGAGGCGTAAGCCAGCAGTTGAACGGAAATAGGGAAATTCAGCATATCTCGCAATTGAATTATAGCTTGAGCTCTCTTTTCTCCAATATTCTCTAAACTCTGGAGCTCTTCCTCAGTAGCAGTTTGAATATTTACCCGCATGTTAAATGTTTGTGTTATTTATTGAAAAGCAGCAGTACAAATTTGTATTTGAATTAGAATATTTGATCATAGATAGAAAGAAAGAAAGTAGAAAGATGTAGCAATTTAATTATGGCCAATAACCATACACAAATTGCTAGAGCAAAATTGGTAAGTTGACAAAGTTCGACAGTTTTTGCTGTTTGATGAAATCAGAAATTAACACAGGTGTTAGTCATGCACATGGCAATATGAATAAATCTTTATTTTACTCCTTCCTAAAAAAAAAAAAAATTAGCAAAGTGCAGCGTGCGCCCACCCTATAGATGTTGGGGGGGGGGGGGGGGGTTACTCAACTTTTTTTTTTTTTGTTTAACTTTTTTTTTTAAGCTACAATTTTATAATAAAGTAAGTTAACAGGACTTAAAACAGAACAGCTATAAACCACAGGTTATCTGGATGAAAAGTATGTGATTGCCTACATGGAATAACAAGTATGTGTAAGCCTATGTAGAACTTGGCTGCCCTTACATACCGAGGAAATTCGAACGAACAATAAATTTTACGAATTAACCTTTATCTTCTCAAAACTTACTCTATATATGAATTAACCTATCCAATACACTAGTATAGGCTAAAATATATGGGTTCTGAATCGTTATCTAAAGTATTACTGAGTTTGATTTTTTTAAAAGCACATGGCCGGATGTTTCGCGCCGTTTATCCTCGTCGCCAATGTTGTAATGACATTTATTACACAAAACAAAACAGTTAACAAATACACAAATATACACAGATAACGAGCGCACACAGCAGCAAGTTATTATGTATGTGAGGCGCACACAGCAGCCCCAGACCGCACACAGCAGGTCGAAATAGTTCACAGTGGTTACCCGTAGGTTCTTACACAGAATGGCGTCTTCTTTTTAATAATACACAAAAAGGCGTGACGTCATACGCACACATACACATAAGAGGTTCAACACGGGAATACATACACGGGCTCAGCACAGGATACATATAACGAATTGTACTACACTATGTTGCATTGTGCGATTTTTCGTCGAATAAAAAACGACTTAATAGATTTTTTTAATGACGATGAAATCCTCTTGGTATGTTTTATATGTGTATTAAACAGGAAATTTTTTTTTTGGTTTCTAAAGGTTTGATGTAGAGTAAGTAATCGAAGTTGTAGCTTAATTTAAGCGTAATCTTATATAGGATAATCATCAGGATCATCATTCGATAAAAAGCTCCAGTTCTGAGTTGCCGTGCCTTATTAACGACTCGCTCAAACTGAATTGACTGAACTACGAAATCACATAACTCGCCAGAAAACATAGACACATTTATATTAACAAAAATAGCTTAAATTACCTAGATAAAATATGGTAGAAATACATTAATCTAATGCTCTATTTACATCAGTGGGCTCTTATGACGTCATAAAACCACAAAATCAAGAACGATAAGCGGGCAAGAAAAGTAACAAGTATAAAAGTTTTCACTTTTATTTTTCTGTAGAGCAAAGGCCAAAAAATATTACTATGACCTTTAATATGGGTAAATAACAACGACTGACATTAAGATAACATTACTTTAAACTTGTTTATTATCGTATGTAACAATGAGAAACTGACAATTATCTGAAATCGTGAGTAAAAATGTCCAACTGATCAGGACTGCCGATATTTTTGATGACCGTAATATATACAACGGTTATCACTTTGTACTCAGTGATGAAATGCCCACAAAACCTGGACAAAAATGGTTAAAAACAATTACTCATGATGGTATATGTTTGTATAAATGACAGTTAATACCCCCTTGAACTTATGTAAATTTGCCTTCATCCCTTCACCATTTCCAGACCTTGGTTTCTTATAATATAAATAAGAGTTAAGTTTTGTATAATAATATAAAAGTTTCACAAAGAAATCTTATATAAACTAATGAAAAAACAAAGTCAAAAGTAGAAACTACCTTTTACCATATTCATCCTGTCAAAATTAACATCTGTTTTTTTTTTAATTCCTTTTACGAATCAAACGCTGTTTAAAAATAAAATTCCCATTATTGCGCAATTAAACACTCTAATTACCTGCACATGACAAGCTGTATATTCCCCTTTATTTTCCCTGTAAACTCCTGCTATTGCAAAGCTTTTCAATTAAACCAATACTGACAACATTTATTAAATCACCAATGGAAAATAAACATATTGTCATGTTAGTTAGTCAATTTATAAGTTTTTGAAAAAGCAGAAAAATTCTAGAGGCAAAGTTAGTGCTAAGATAAAGAGCAATACATTTTCTTCCATAATTGTTTAATGTAATTCATCATGAATTGTTCTTAGTCTTTCTAGAAACATTAGTGAACATGAAAATCTGCATGAACAGTATTTTTTATACGCTGGCATGTTTTCTTTGTGGCTTTAAGAATTACTAAAATGCCTCTTACATGCATCAAAAACAATGTAAGCAACATCTACCATTAGGGCTGCTATCATTTCTTATGAGAAAAGTGTCGATGTACAATGCGAGGCTTTTCACATTTTTTGCCATTGTTTCCTATATTAATGATGAATTAAAATTTTGTATCGTTAGCGTTTTATTTTAATTATATTATCTGATTCGCTAAACAAAACATGTTCACTACTTAAAGACACGTCAGCGTCGTGATTTCCTGGACCTCATGGGTCAAACTAAAAATAAAATCATGATTTTAATAATTTGTTAAGCAAATCACCGAGGTTTTTTCAGCTAATTTAGCATATAAAAGGAGTTTCTGTTGTAGTTGTCATAACGTAAGCTTTGTCAAATCAGCATGTCTAAAGCCTTAAGTGTCCTTCTGCTGGGATTACTATGCACATTTGGTAAGATGTTCAGTTTAAATACTACATTAATTGGAATCAATTTAAAATCACAATTTATTCGATGATCATACGCGAACCATTGTCCTTATTGTCCATATATTGTACATATATGAAGCCTGAATTTAACCTTTGTTTTTTGGAAGGAATATTTACTTGTATTCACCTTTTCAAGGAAAAGTTAATTTTTCTCACGAGAAAAGATTATTTATCAGTTAAAATGTATTTTGGTACTTAAAGACAAGATCGATAACATTGCATTTTAGGTATGAGTGTTAGCCTTTTGATGTAATTTTTATATAGATTTTTAGGGTTTGCAACTATGATAAAACAAATGCATGGTATACATTTAGAAAGTCTTATCTTCTTATCAAAGATTTGTGATTACCGGGTGTACGAAATTTCACAAACCACAAAATAGTCGTATAATATGCGAGTCATTACTGGTGAGGGGAAATACAGGCGATTAGAAATATTTTCACTGTAAATTAATGTTAAATTATTTTTTTTCAAAAAGCACTACAAAAATTCCTGACGAAAAAAAAAGTTCGTCCGGAAAATTTCACGTGTACGTCGGAGTGTTGAAGCCATTCGAGGATTTTTTTCATTAACAAATATTGAAATGTATATTTATCAATATTTACATTTGCTGTTTTTTCTACTAAGCCAACTGTGCAATTGATTTGAAAGTCATTTGGTGTATACTCACGCGTAGAAATATACACGGTGAAACTCGCGCTAAAGTGACGTCACAATGAGGCTACAGAGATGTAACGATATAGGGCAACAAGAAATTCAAATATTGAGTACATTATTGGTGCTTTTAAACTTGTAAAATGTAAATATAGGGAATGTTTTTTAGTTTAGTGTGAATTATTGGTGTGTAAATCACACAGACTTGCACGTAGGCATATTTTTCATGAAGCGCTAGCGCTTCATGAAATATGCCTACGTGACAATAACTCACACAAAACTTAAAAACATTCCTTAAGTGAACCTTTGAAATAGTAACAATCCATTTATTATAATTTTTCATCCCAGCCGCTGGACTGATACTTCCACCGCACCCTGGAAGATGTCCAAGATTACCCAGTGACGTGTTCACCACTTGTCTGGTGACCTGTGAAACTGACAGGGATTGCCCGTTCTACCAGAAGTGCTGCAACAATGGTTGTGGTAGAGACTGCGTTGTACCAATTCATGGCCGAGGCTATTATTAATGAAAACCAATACTTTACCTGAAAATTGTCAAAATAAATTTTATGTGATTTGAACAACTTTATTATTTATTTGTTTGTTGTTTTTTTAACAAAAAAATAGATTGTCTGTATGTCTATTTCGGGATCGGCTTAGTCCGATCCGAGTTGATTCCATATGAGGCATCCGGCAAATTTAACTACCAACGCCCTGCACTACTTTGTTTACTATGCACTGACAGTTTTGTTAAATTTGTTAAGTACATGTACTAGCAAACATTATTTTAATGCATTTACCTTGAGATGCAGACGTTTATTCAGTTACATGGTGAATACTTACATTATTCTTTACATGCGTAAGAATTTCATTCGGATGTACACTTCTTCTAATTTTGAATTTTAACTGTTAAGTGCTTGACACATCACTTAGCCATAGCATTACATCTATACTTATAAATAAATATATTTCGAAAATAAAGTCCGAAACGGGTGCACCAGAGTTCTTACTAACTCCTCTATGAATACATTAGATACAAGATGATGTCCGTAAACTATATTCAGATTTCATACGCTTGTTACGCATTGCATTCTTTAATTAAGAACTGTAAAAAAGATTAATTTATTTTCACTTAATTTTCTTTCCCAAGGGTTAGCCTATTAATATTTTTTTTTAACTTTGGGCAGTTGTGTTAGTTTAAGAGTTGTTGTAAAATGTGCTTTTTAAATAAAATTAATCTCATCACAATGTGTATCGGTAACGGTCCTAATAAAACTAATGTCCAAATAACTGTATCTCACTTTAATTCTCAATGACCGTTTAGTATAGGGTGGCGCCGCGAGAATTCCGTCTGTTTTCGTCGAGTTGTACATGTAGGTCATTCACGACGTTTAAAACTGCGCTGCAGTAAGCTGCACAACTGTAGCGTTTTGGTTTAACATTTTAGTTCTTGATCATAAAGCTACAGATCCCGTGTTGCAATTTATGGCGCAAGATTTTCTGCGCACTGTGGTTGGGGAGAATTTCTCCACTTCCCAGCTTTGGTCAATCAACAACCGTTCACTCCCCAATTCTAAGCATATTTTTTAACCAACCTGTATATTTTATCCACCTTCTAACCATTTGTAGTTGTCTCTACAGAACAATCGACTCGTTTGTTTTGAATTTTTGTGGGTGGCAGAAAATTCAAAACAAGCGAGTTTATTGGTCTGTAAACACGATTGTAAAGGGTTAGAAGGTGGATAAAATATAGTTTGGTTAAGGTTTTGCCAAAGGTGAAGATGTCCAAAAATTTATTTTTACAATAGCTCCAAAATTATGTGAGGTATAAAGTTAAAACTTTTTCAGTTTATAAATATATCATTGATTAACAGATAGAAAGTATCACTTGAAAACAAATATTTAAAAAAAAATATTTTTTGAGAAAAAAAAATTCAAAAATTTTTCATATTTTTTAAAAAAAAAATGCACCTGCTTAATTCTGTACTTTAAGTGAAAACCATCATTGCAGAAATAATATAGGTTTATCAATGAAGGGCAAGTTGGACGTGAATGGTCTCTGAAAGGGTTATTGAAAGCATTACATGTATAAAGACAAGACCCTTATAAAATCCGACATTTGCAATGCACTTTCGGTTTCAAATCTTAACATTTTGACAAAAAAAACAGGGAAAACAACTTTCCAGAGGCTATCAGAGTCCAACTGCAATGATGGGTTTCAGTAAAAGTAGGTGTATTTTTTAAAAATATATGCATTTTTTTAAAAGAATTTTTCTCGATAAATATTTTATTTAAGTATTTTGTTATCAAGTGATACTTTCTATCTATTAATCAATGATATATTTATAAACAGTAAAAGTTTTAACTTTATAAACCACATAGTTTGGAGCTATTGTAAAAATAAATTTGTGGACATGTTGACCTTTGCCAAAACCTTAAAAAAGTGTCTAGAATTGGGAAGTAAAATGTAGTTGATTGATTTATGCTGAAAAGTGGAGAAATTCTCCCCAACCGTGCATAGAAAATCTTGCGCCATAAATTGCATCATATTTGCATTACGGATCTGTAGCGCTATGGTCAAAGACTAATATATAAAACCATAATGCTGAAGTAATACAACTTCATTTATAATTTTGCACTTTCAATACAATCAAGTGAATTTGAATTACCATACCAATATTTGATTCCAAAACTCCATTAAAATTCTTTAAAACAAAGATATATAGCGGGTTCCAGTAAATGTACTACCAAGCCTCTTTCTTTACTCCTCAGTAAAATATTTACAGCAGTAAAGGATTGATTGCTTGATTGTATGTATGTTGTTTTACGTCCCGTTCGAGAATTTTTCACTTGTATAGAGACGTCACTATATACCGGTGAAGGGCTTCACATTAAGACCTTTACACGGTACTCGGGGCTGAGCAGTTAGCAGTTGTATTCAATTATAAGATCCTCGATATAAGATGGAGCTAACCCGTGTAAAGATTAGAAGACGTATGTCAAGATTTTATATTGTGGCCGAAAATAAACGGGTAGCCAATGAAGATCTGCTAGAATAGGAGTAATGTGCTCCACACTTGCTGTGGCCTTCAACTCGACATATAGATTTATCGTCGAAGTATTATCAATTAACAATTGTTACATGTACTTCCATTCATAAGTCGACTCGATATATCCCAGTGAGCTTGAAATAAAAGATACACAAAATCTGACACCTCTGTTTCATATTTGGCTATTTTATTAGAAAAAGACTTAAAGGTAACCTAACTAAAAGTTTTATGATAAACGTGATAACTTCAATTTTTCAATTTCCAACTTCCCTTACTGATCTAGAAATGTACCTGCATATGGGGTTTTGTGTCCCAGTTGATTCGATACGCAAGAGCATACTCTTCGTATGAACAATTTCTAAAACGAGGCAAGCTATTGACAAACAAGTTGATGATACAATGATATCAACAGTCTAGTTGGATGTCATCATTTCGCAATTTTATGGTCGATACAACGACATTGTCAGCAAATACAACCTGCTATTAAGGCAAATGCTGACTTTTTTCATATTAATTGTTGGGCCATTATTTACACACTTAATTGTCTACGGATTTTTCCGTTTTGTCCTGAAAATGACAAGGAGCACATGGTGGGTGTGACCGGTCCGCAGGGTATGCTCACTCCTCCATGCACCTGATACCACCTCAAAAGTATTTGGTTATGGTGCGATAGTAGAAATATCATAATTCCAGCTGTTCGATCATATTCCGGGGAAAATGTCACTGCTGACTATATGTCCAGATCATTAAGTGACTCAACTGAATGGAAATTGAATGAAAATGTTTTAATGAGGTTTGTAGAACATTGCATCTAGACTGAATATACAATTAGAGAATTACAGTTCATGGTTACCTGATCCTCATGCGTTCACTTCAGATGTATTTTCTATTGACTGGTCGAATTTTGAATCTTATATTTTCCCTCCTTTTAGTTTGAATGGGAGAATTCTACAGAAGATAGAGGAAGAAAGGGTGAGCAAAACCATTTGAATTGTACCAAAATGGGCAACACAACCATGGTATCCAATATTATTAAAGATGCTAATAGGAATTCCAGTTCGTCTACCTGTAATTTCCAATCTACTTTGTTTAGTTCACAACAATCAATTACACTCTTTGAACAAGAGGAAACTTTTCTATTCGCTTGCATAGTATCAGGAATAAACTCAAAGGCAGAGGCATATCTTAAAAACTCTATCAAATTCATTGCAAATTCATAGAGGCCAAGTACAAAAAATACAAATTTATATGGGCAAAAGTAAAATTTTGGCGTCTTCAAAGGAATATCAATCCCATGCAACCAGCTTTCAATTAAATAATTTTCTGAAAAGGCTGAAAACTACGGAAGCCGGTTGGTGCCAGGTAGAAAAAATATTTTATCTGGCGGCCGCCAAATAAAATATTTTTCTACCTGGCACCTACCGGCTTCCGTAGAAAACAATTATTCGACAAAAAACAAAATAAATGCATACAAAGCTGCAAATACCCAAACACTTTCAGTTTCTGGAAATTTTTCATTTCATCAGAATCCTTTATTAATTAGATTTATAAAAGGTGTATTTTTGAGTAATAGAACTATTAAAACATGGGATGTTGGACAAGTTTTGATTATCTTAAATCTCTGTACCCTTTGGAGAATTTGAATTTGAGATATCTTACATTAAAATTGGCATCTCTGATAACATTGACCACTGCTAGGAGGGTTCAGACATTAATATCATTAAATATCAATAATATGTCTGACCATGTTGAATACGTGCTGTTCACTACTTCTGATTTACAGAAAACTTACAGACCAGGCAACGACTTCCAAAAAATAAGTTGATATCCAGACAAAAGTTGTGTGTTACACACTTTGAAATATTGCTTAGAGAAAACAAAAGAAAAAGAAAAACTAGATAAATTTGTAGTTTTATATAAAACTTATAAATAAGTTACAACTTGTACAGTTGGTAGTATTGAACAAGATCAGGTATTGATGAGAAAATATTTTCAGCCCATTCGTACAGAAGTGTCTCCACAGCTTTCGCTGGTGGTGTGCAACTTAAAGAGTTCCTAAAAACCTCTAATTGATCAAATGCTAAAACCTTCTCTAAATTTTGTAGAAAAGAATTGAATAATGATTATTTGAGCACAGTTTTGGATTCATCTGGACGTTGAATTTGTTGCAGGAGTTGCTGGCTTTTTAATCATCGTTGGATCCTTTCTGTGACACTGGTACTTGTTAAATATTTGGAGAACCATTGTGTACTGAATTTTTGTTTTGATGAACTTTATGGAGCTATGCATTTTGAATATGCATGTATTAATCAAATTTTTAATGATGTACATCATAAGTATAGTTGATATTTTTTTGTAATTTCATTATTAATTTAATTATCTTATTATTAAATTGAATATCTCTTTACCTAAGCTGTGGAATTAGTTATTCTTTGATTTTCTTTAGTTCATTTTTTGGAGTAATTGTCTTTACGGCTTTAAATATTCCTTGAAAGCAAAGTAAGCCTGGAGGCTCAATGAAAGAAAATGGAACCCTTAT